GGCTGTTTGTGGTCTAAAAATCGATCTTTATGTCTTTTTCCATAAAAATTTGCCACGTTTTATGTTTAGAACTAGTAAAAATAGTTAGAAACGCTTCTACTATTTATAATTTAAAAATGGGATCCTTAGAAAAACGTGTTTAAAATACGAAAAAATTTAAACCCCCGGATAATGCGAAAGACAACGTAAAAAGTGTCAAAAAAATCCAAAAGCCAGGCCCAACTCCGCGACACAATCTTGGTGGACGCCGGCGGAGCACTGTGGGTTTGGTCCGATGGCACACCATCGACCCATTGTCTCGACACGGCAACCAGGTAAAAAGCCAAGATCCCACAAAAATCGATTCTCTAGGTACTGGCACGGTCGCGAGGGGCGATGCACGGTGGTGGAGAAGAACAACGAGCCGGCCGAGTTCAAGGCCCTCTTCCAGGAGTGGAATGATTGGCCGGAAGACGCGGAAAATACTACTCCAGGTCCGTCAAACCATGCGAACTACACGACGCTTTTTAGAGGCAAGCCCACCCCGCCCATTGGCCGATTGTTTATCGGAGCGTCGGCGAACTTTTACGCCCGCCCAGCTTCGACAACGCGAATCCCTGCCGGCCGGTCTTGATCTCAGCCGACTGCATAAATATTTGAACGACGAGGACTTTGGGAAGGTCAGTCGAGAAAACCGGTATAGACAAATCGGTTCCAGACTGTTAGCGGGGGGGGGGGGACAATTTTTCACACCGGAAAACCACTTTTTGTTTTTCCACCTATAGCGCAATTTTGATAATATATAATGTATTTTTACACGGTTTTTAGTAGTTTTCGGTGCAGGAAGTTATAAAAAAGTTTAGTCGATCTGAAAATTCGAAAATTTTTTATATCTAAAAACGATGTAAAATGATATGAAATTGTTATAGGGCGGTAGAGAATACCAGGGAAAAATTTTATTCCCCCGCTAACAGTCCAGAACCGACAAGTATCAACTATAATAAAAAGATAGGGGTGTCTGTCCGTCCGTCCGTCCGTCCGTCATGTCCCGGATTCAACTCGAAGGGGAAAAGAGCTAGAGCTTAGCTCTCTTCGGATTCGGATAGAGCATGATCAGAAACCCCCAAACTGATAAAAAATTATGAAAAAGTTTTAATTTAAATTATTAAAATTAACTTTGAAAGTGGCGCCTTAATAAAACGAGTGGGGGCCCCTCTCCCGGGAGGCCACGCCCCCTTTCCCTTCGCCCCTCTTCCCCAGGCCCCTTCCCGTGCCCAGATAGCTTTTTTAAGTTACTTTAATACTTTTAATACTTTTTAATTATGTTAATTTATTATTTAAATCATTTAAAGTATCGGGATGGAATCCAAGTAGTTTTTGAAGGGGATTTCAGTCATGGGGGGTATCTGAAGCCATCAGTGTAGGTATTACCATGAAGGCATCAGCGTAAGGTAGGGATGAAATGTGGTGGTGTAGAATATGGAGGGTAGCCCGAAGTCCAGCCGGTTACAGTCGCGAAGCGGCTGTAATCGGCTGGTCTACTATAATAATTTTGCTGTGGTGTCCGTCTGTCCGTCGTGTCCCGGATTCAACTCGAAGGGGAAAGGAGCTAGAGCTTAGCTCTCTTCGGATTCGGATAGAGCGTGGCCAGAAACCCCGAAACTGATAAAAAATTATGAAAAAGTTTTCGTTTAAATTAATAAATTTAACTTTGAAAGTTTTTTGCTTGGTAAAAGAGAAGGGGGACGGAGGTTGTGGTGATTTTGGACATAGTGAGCCAGGTGGCGCGCGTTTCGGCGGGGGGAGGGAGCGCAGGGGGTTGCCCGAAGTCCAGCCGCTTGCAGCGGCGAAGCCGCTGAAAGCGGCTGATCATAAATAATAAAGATACTTAAAAAAGTATCGTAATCCATGTGTTCTACTAGAAAAAAAATAAACGAAAAGTGTTTAGGAATTCGGCATGTCTCCCAAAGACTTTGACGCGCTGCCAGCTTGGAAACAGAACCGGATGCGGCAAGATGCAAAGTTATTCTAGAAGAACCCTAGAATATCAAGAGCTCCATTCAAAAAATCCCCTTTTCGATTTGTACAGAACCCTCCGATTATTTCTTGCGCTTTATGCCTTCTATGCTTCGTTGGTGCTTTATGTTGCCATTTTATGATAAAGCCTCAAATACCTTGAAAGTTTCTACACGGGCATCCTAATGCCAAAAAAGCAGAAATTTCAGATACCGAACCAACTTTTATAAAGCATATCAGTAGCACTTTTATAATTATAAAGCACTATATAACGCGCGAGCGCAAATTTATATATAAGTGTAAGCGCCTGAAATAACGTGCAAAACGAGCACCCATTTTTAAAACTCTGATTTTTAAGTTTTAAAGTTTTTTAAGGAGTTTCAGGTCCAGTTTCAGCTGGTTTTTAACAAGGCTAAACCACCCAAAAGTTAATAACAAACTATTAACTCAAAAAACCCCCAACTAACTTCTACCCCTTAGAAAACTTGCAGTTTCGCTTCAGGCCCATCAAAATCGTCTTGCTTCGCCACGCTGACGGGCAGGCTAGCAGGGACAATTTGAAGGCGCCCATCGGTCGGTCTCTTCATTTTGCCGCCGCCTAACCGATACCTAATGGATTTAATGAGAGCATAATCGAATTCCTTACCTTATTATCATGCAAAGGCTTGATGTCCATCAAATTTGGCAGGCTAGCAGAGATTCTTGAGGAAGCAATGCGCGGAGGGAGCCTGAAATCAATAAAATTTAAAAATAAACAACGTTATACTCAAAACCACCCAGAAAAAGCAGAAAAACCAGATATATTTATATCATTTTCAAGAAAAAAAGCAAAAGTACGGGGACGATTATAAATTTTTATTAAAAACATGCAAAAAATTGATTTTCGATTAAAAATCGCCGTTTTTGAACCGGATTTAGATGTTTCAAAACTTTTAAAAAGTTCATAGTTTTTAGATAGTTCTTCTAGTGGAAATACAGTTATATTTTACTAAAAATACTATTAAGACTCTTCTTATTCAGTTTATTAAGTTACTAGACATTCCTAAGTCAATACAAAAACGTTACGTTAACAGAATTGTTGTTTTTACAATTTTTGCAGATTTTCCTCGAAATCCAGACCATTTTTGGGTCAAGTAACCACCCGCCCAAGCCTTTTTCTCCGTTTATGGCCCGACAATAATTATCCTAACCGACTCCTCGACTCGCCCGCTTATCGCATGCCTGAATTTACGGGCTTTTCGCGATAAAAACACCGCATTTGCCCCGCTTTTCGTTTTCACGCGGGGCAACGAAACTCGCATCGGCCGCTTTCAAGGCAATTTATGACCTTATTGCAGTATTTGAAAGTGGGTTTTCGGCAATTCCACCTTGAGCCTGATCCACAGAGCGGTAATGAACTTTGCAGTCCATCATGAGCGGCCTATTCAATCGCCTTACATCGAAAAGCAAGGGTGAGCCGGTCCAGCCGGTGCGCGAGATAACCCGAAACCGCCCCGGGTCGGGACATAGCAATGTTTCTCAAGACGGACCCCAGGCGCCAGTCGGTCAGTCATTCGTTTTCGCAGAAATTAAACTAATAACGTTGTAGAAGCCCAAGCACTCTACAATTCGCCGGGCCCGCACCCCAAATATAAGTATCTGCAGTTCCGCAGGGGAGAACGCCTGAAGATTCTCAGAGAGGCGTACGTTTTGAGTAATTTGAAGCTTGGTTCGTTCGCATTCAAGCTGAGGGGGGGGCATTTTGTGGTATGAGTTTAGAAATCTCTAGTAACATAATATGAAACTAAAACTAATAACCATCTAAAAAATTGCCAAATGTCGAAATTTCGGCGATCACGGTCATTTTGCTCGAAAAACCCATATTTGTGCCTTTTTAAAGCGCACGTTCAGGGAGGGCCGTGTGTTCAGGGAGGGCCGAGGGCCGTGCCAACGTGTACACCCTATGGACGTAGGGACCGCGCGCACTGTCTGCCCGTGGCGAGGGAAGCAATTTCCCTCATTTGCGGCGTGAGGCGCCACTCATCCCCTCGCCAGGTTGTAACTGTGGCTGATTGGTATCCATCCGCGCCTCCCGAGCGGGGGGGCCGGGTTCGACCCCCGGCCGCAGCAAAAATCTTTGCATTTTTCCAAAAAAACGTCCCTGAACGTGCCCTTTAATAACACTTTGGAACGTTTTACTTTTCGAATAGTAGAACAATTTAGAAGTTTTTCAAAGTTTGTTTTCGCCCGAGAAACCCAACCATCTCCCCCGATAATGCAAAAGAACCTGAAGCTTTTTCGACGCCTTTTTGCGATCGCGGTTCTCATTTCGGGCCGCGACCCCGATAACCGGCAACTAAGATGCATGCGAATTTGCCCGGGTGCACACCCAAATTGATAAGATTTTATCGCTGAGCGCTGAAGCTGGCTTGGCCAAGACTTGGCAAGGCGGTCGTGTCACAATTTCAGATTGAAAAACCAAGGAAATCAAGGGCGTCCCAAAAAAACAGCCCCTCTCGCCTAGCGGTCCGCAGTAATGTCCGATTTTTACGTTTTAGGTATCTATCGCAAGCTCTTGTCGAGCTGAGATCGAACTTTTGAATAATCAGGAGACCTGTTTTCGCCGATCTTCTAGGTTCCCCATTTTTTTTATTACATTTACGAAGTTTTTTGGGGAAAAGATCGAATTTTTGTTGCTTTTCCTAAGCAAAGTGTTTTATTAAAAAAAACCATTTTTCACCGAAAACAGCTTTTTGAAAAAGATTTCATAAAATTCATAAAAAGATGATAAAACGGCTAAAAATTTGGAAATTTCGAAAATCGGAAACAACATATCTCCTCAGCTCGTCGCGAGCTTTTGATAGATACCTAAATCGCAAAAGTCGGACACGACTCTGGACCGCCAGAGCGCCGGGGCTTTTTTGGGCCACCCTGTAGTATTTGTTTTTAGTAATGACAACTGGTGGCAGGCCGAGCATCCGCGCACTAAGGAGAGGGGCTACGTGCCCACCCAATATATCGCGCTGATGTGGCCGATTCGGAATGAGCCGTGGTTTTACTGGGATTGGGATCGGGACAAGTCGCAGAACCATCTGGTAGGGAGCGTGCAGATAACTATAGAAGCTACCTTACTGTTAGCTTGGCGATCACCGACTTCCGCCCGGTACATTTGTGGTTCGACCGAGCTCTTCGGCTGGATTCGCGTTGGACGTAAAGTAGGTGTTATTGTTATAATTTTATCAACAACGATCGAACCAGCCTAATTATCGGGGCTTTCAGGTTTGGCCCACGCGTTTTCAAGCCGTTTCGCATCGACCAGGACCAAGACAACCATTATTACTACATCGAAGAAGAGTTCAAGTTCCGTTCTATCCAGCAGTTGGTCCAGCATTATCAGACGAGTGCGTTTCTACGCTTTTTGAACGTCAACCCGATGCTTCAAGGTAAATCTCCGCTACTGAAGATCCGCCTTGGCAAATGGCCTGTCGAAGCGCGGGCGGCCGCACCGCCCTCGTAAGTGTGATATTCGGTAACCTGTTCGGTTTCAGGCGAGACGAATGGGAGATCGACTCGCGCGAGCTAGTGATTGGCGTCCTTATTGGCCAAGGAAATTTTGGCCTGGTATGCGCCATTTTGTCTTTGAAAGGGACTCCGAACTGCAAAACCAAAGCCCTTTAGGGAGGGCTCTTTGATTTCTGGCAAATTGCCACCTGGCATTTTTGATTTTTGCGCGAAATTTTTCGCCCGATGTCGTTGTGCAAGGAGCTTTAGGCCCCCTTTAAAGGGGCCCGGAAATGCCAAAATTTGATTTACGGCCCCGGTGCCCTCTACGTCGAAGCCCTTTGTACGCTCAGGGATGCGGGAAGCTCGCAAGTTTGAAATGGCCTTCTGTCACCTTCAAAACACGTTCTCGGCTGTTTTTGGACCAAAGTTGTTGATTAAAAGACCAAAGCTATTCAAAATTGAGTAAGGATCTCAGAAATGAGCTCAGAATCTGCGAATTATAGTGTTTTCACAAAGAAACCGGACAACAACAGTTTCGCGCAAAAATCGAAAGAGTGAGCACTCTCGTCCCGCAGCGCGTCCGCTGGCAATTTGCCAGAAATCAAAGATGTGGTTTGGCAGTTCGGTGCCCCTTTAACAACCACGTCCTCAGGTGAAACGGGCGATGTGGCATCGATTGCCTGTGGCTGTCAAGACCCTCCTCAATAGCCCAAATCGTGATGGCGAAAAGGACTTTAAAGAGTGAGTTACCGGGCCGATCAGTTTCACGTTTTCCAGTGAAGCCCAGCAGCTGAAAGAGCTCGATCACCCACATATCGTCCAGTTATACGGGGTACGTATCTTCAGCATTTTTCCTGCCAACTTCCTAGGTAATTACGGTGAAACAGCCATACATGCTGGTAACCGAATACATGTCTGACGGATCGCTGCTGCGTTACATGCGAAAAAAGGGATCACCCGTAGACCACGCACAAGCCATTGACATCTTGATCCAGGTAGTATCGAATCGAAGAGAGCTTTTACAAGAGTCCGATCCAGATTGCGGCCGGGATGGAATATCTAGCAGGAAAGGGGAAAATCCATCGCGATCTGGCGGCACGTAACGTACTCATCGACTTGAGCGCGCGCAAAATCGTCGCTAAGGTAATGCCTGGTAAATTGTCGAAAAATACCGCTTTTCCAGGTGAGCGACTTTGGGCTGACGCGCAACATGCCCGATGATCACTACTACACGTCTCACGGCAATTTTCCGGTCTGCTGGAGCCCGCCAGAGGTATGGATTATGCATAAATCATATTCATCAAAACCCATCGACTCCAAGTCTGCTCATCTAGGCACTGGAAACGTACAGCTTCACGGAACGTTCGGATTGTTGGTCGTATGCTGTGGTGATGTTTGAGCTATACACGAGCGGCGAAGCACCTTATGCCAGAGAGATCGAGCAGGGTGCGTTGAATAAGTGCTCGCTGGACAAATATGCAATTCTAAATCCCGATAGCCATTATTTTCAGCGTCTAAGCGCCCAGACTACTTGCTGAAGTGGTTAGAGCAAGGGAACCGTCTTCGGCAGCCGGCACGATGTCCGGATGCAGTTTTTTCGAAGGTTGGTCGTTTATTTCTTCACGTCTCTTCACCGTGCACTGTTTATCGGTTATCAACCCAACTGTTGTTCCAGATAAGCAATCCCTGCTTCGCCAGGGCCTGGCGTGAACGTCCAAGTTTCACCGAGATCCTCGCCATTCTCAAGGTACAAAATTTATAGCGAAACCACCGATTGGTAATTTCAGGCGCTGAAGCCCGATGAAATCGAACCACCGCCACGTACAGAACACAGAAACGGCCAGCCAACGCCGAAGCGATGATTGACACCTGCGAGACTCGGCCTTGCTTCGCACAAATCCGCATATGTTGATCGGGTTTTGTCAATAAACCAAAAAGGAACGGGATCAGCTACCACACAATTGACTGCTGTAAATCGGCCTAGGGAGCGCTAGGGAGGCAGTCGCCAAATTTTTTTGGACTTTGCCCCCCCAAATCGGGGGTTCGCTACGGCCCTGTATACAGTAAATTTGATTTCCCGGTGCTTTCCTATTGACGATGGTGGTGGGAGAGCGAATTTTTTCATAAAATTTCGGAAATGCTCAGTAACTTTGTAGTAAGTATTTCAATAGTGTCTGTGGTAAAGTTCACTTTATTTGAAGTGGCGAAAACTTAGAGAAGCAATTTTTTGACACTTGAAACCCCCCCCAAACAATGATCTTTGGGGGCCGTCTGGTCAGTTCTCGCGACTTGGGCAATCTAGCGGCGATGCTTGGGTCCTGGGAAGAGATACCAGCTGTTCTATTTGACATCTGCCGAGGAGATGATGTGCCCTTGGGTGATATTTCGATAATTTCCCCGCTGCCCCTCCTCGACCCCATCGCACCAATCCATATCGATCCGCGCTATCATCAAATTATCGACGACGCCATTTCGGTCCAACCTTTTCCTCATCATCAAAATAGCTTAATTCAGCTTTCTTGTTTTTTTCTGCTGACCGTTTATGGGATCTTTTTTGTTGAGTGTATGTCCTTAACCCCGTGTCTGAAATCTTAGGTTGCTTCTTCGACCCCCCCCCCCCCCGCCCGAAAGCGTAGCTTAGGGCTTTTCGTAGGGCTATTTGGCATAAAGACCATTTGCCGATCCCTAGAACACAGAAAATAGTTTCGATTTGCAATAATTTTTTGTTGCACAGAACCGTTATAAAATCATAAAAATGTTTCTTCTCCTCCTCTCTTTTCAATGTCGTTTTCAGAATTTCGATTAACAATGTCACGGAGGGTTCTCGTTCGTTAGCGGGGGGGGGCACAGTTTATCGGGGCAAACATTGTTTGTCAATGGCTTCCCTGATCTTAAATTACACGATGTTGAGCTGTTTATAAAACCTTTGGTCCATTTTTAGGTCCTATCGAATAGCGTTAACAGAATATCGAAAATCCCAAAAAGTAGCTTGCCGACCCCATTTTCAGGGTTGTTTTTGCTTTTGTTATAACTTTCTCAAATTATAGTGTTTTGATCTAGAATTAAAATTATCAGCATATTTTTTTGATGCGTTACCGGGTCACGAGGATGTAGTCCCAGAAAATAATTAAATATGGAAAAGTCTACGACATTAAACTTTCTCCCCAAAACTCCTTCCCCCCCCGCGAATGAATCAGAACCGAAGCGGATTTTGGACGCTGGTGGTTATATATTTGGCGTCAGATGATGTGCGGGGAAAACGCGGTCTCGGTGGCGATGAACGTGTTTGACCGGTTACGGTACTGGAGCCGACGGAAACGGTGTTCTCGATTAGCGGTCAACGAACTGCCATGGCCCGCCATCTCGGCTATACTCGATCAGCTGACCATCCCACAACTCCGAACACTGCAGCGCGTCAACCGCAAATTCAGGTATAATCACATAGTTTAAGACAACGGCAGCGAAGAGTCTGTTTGTCCCGATAATCATAATGCCGTTAAAGCGCACGTTCAGGGAGGGGCCGTGTACTCGTCCCAACGTGTACACCCTATGGACGTATGGACCGCGCGCGCGGCCTGCCCGTGCTGTGACAGGCCATTCCCCTCGTTTGCGGCGTGGGGCGCCCCTCGCCCCTTCGCCAGGTTGTAGCTGTGGCTGTCTGGTATCCATCCGCGCCTCCCGAGCGGGGGGCCCGGGTTCGACTCCCGGCCGCGGCAAAAAGCTTTGCTTTTTTCCAAAAAAACGTCCCTGAACGTGCCCTTTAAAGGAAGATTCGCCGTTCTACTGTAAGGTGTTTTCACATAGGCTGAAGATTCCCTTCGTGCCATAGCCTCTCTTGTGCAGTCCAGAATTTTGGGCTAATTCCGAAATTGTTTCGGCAAATTTTAAAACAGATTCGGAATCAGCGAAAATGGACATGGAATTTGCAGTCGATGCAATACATTTCCCAAAACGGTTCCTTAGGTTTCGCGGCGGTGGGGGGGAACCAATTTTTTTTCCTGGCGGTCCCGGTTGACCTAGTGTTTGTACATTGTTATTAGTAATTTTTTACTATATCTAAAGCCGTAAAACTTTCAAAAAATAATAGAAAAATATTAGAAAACGCCTAAAATTTGGTCATTTTTGGGTCGAAAAAATTGATTTTTCGACCTAAAATTAACTTTTGTAAAGTTTGTATGTTTAGGAATAGCTATAAACTATTTAGAAACACTTCCACGATCCAAATGAATGAAACAAAAGAATCTAGGCTTGTGCCGAAAAAAAATTGGTCCCCCCCCGCGAATCCTAAAGAACCCCCAAAACAATCCAGCTCCGCAATAGCTTTCTTGGTAATCTGATCAAAAACCGTTGCAGGCGCGAGGTGAATGGGCGATGGCTATTGCCCCGGAAGCCAGCCTTCGTGTGGATCGACGCCTACCACGTGAACAATGAAGATCACGACGATGAACAGGTGCCGTTGACCCCCCCTCCCCCACTGCTAACGAACCAGAACCGATTAATCATAATTCCCCCGCCGTAAGCTACGTTTCAGCTTTCTCCGGGTGCTCTTCGAAACTCGTCAATACGGTTTACTGATCGAGCGCAATGGAACATCTGTATTTGGGGCGGAAAACTGACGATCTCCAAAGACAAAAACAAACTGAATTTCAGGTCTGAAATTTGGAATTGAGTCGCCAGCATTACCAAATACTCCGTTTTTATGGCGCCGATAGGTTTTTCTTGGGAATTGACGTCGAGGAACGTCACTGAAGCGCCATTGGAACCCCGTTGAAAACAAAATATACAGAGATCTATATCGAAACACATATTGCGGACAAGTCGAACACACACCCTAAGGGCACTGCTGAGCAGCTAATCCAATACAGAAATTACATACAAAATTCGCAAAAATTCCCTATAGTTTGAATCAATACACGATCGCAAGTGTCGAGCACCGTCACTTTCAGCGTATCTGTCGCATGTATCCAACGATTCGTACATTTCTTCATGACGTCGTCTATTTGTACCGAAAATCTCAGTGTCAGGATCTTCCAGTCACAGGTGAGCGGTAAACAATAAATAAACCGACAGATCTTTCAGACCGTTTCGCCACCCCTCCGCAACGGCTACCCCATTAATGTAAGCCGGGTGCCACTTGATTTACGGCGCCCTCAAATATGCTTAAAAAACGTTGTGAAAAAGCAAAACGAAAAAATCATGAGTAGATCCGTACCCTGGTCACTATCCTGTCAGATCTATGGGAAAGGGGGTTGGTAGGGGGGGTTGGTTGGAAGGGGGGTTCGGAGGGGGGTTTAGGGGGGTTTAGGGGGGGGGGTTCGAGAGGTCTAGTGCCAGGTAATAAACGAGCTCATTTTCAGAATCAGCACAAAAAAAAATAGGATACTTTGGGCACCATGGCAGCCCCGGATGTGGCAAAACATCACGTAAATCCCCAAGGTCGATGCGCAAAAATTCGCCGCGTTTCAGAACGGAAGATTTAATGCACCGAATCGGCCGTTTTTATGCTCAAAAATTCCACGATTTTGTTCTCTAAAATCGATCAGTTGAAGCTTGCGGAAAAACGAGTCTTAAAGAGATTTTGCATTATTTCTAAATTTTACTAGCATTTTTCGCCTCTTCTCGGAGCCCCCAGGCCGAAAAAGCCCTATCACCCTAAACTGCGACCCAATGACCGTAGCCGAGCCCCCTTTTGCCCCACGTAATCGGACCACAAAAAAGCCCAGCGAGAATACGACACAATCCGCTTACGAATTCAGTAAATTAGTACAGCGTATTTCGTTGCAGTTTCGTTGCAGTGTACCCTCTACCGCTTTTTATAAGCTGCCTCCGTTTCCGGCGCATGCTAATAGATTCCTAACAAAGATAATGGAGCAGAATTTTACAAAACCTAATTATATTATATTCAAACGTAGAAATAACCTTTAAACAGGATTTTTGTTTGATGTTCGAAAACAGGGATCCTAATGAAAAAAATTTGTTCCGCCAACTTGCTTAATACTAATAAATACTCCTAATTACACAAAAATAACATTGCTATATGTCTCAGGCTGCCCTCCTTTACCGTCCATTCCGAGCAGCTAGAACTCTGACCATTCGGTCAGCGAACACCACCTTCCTCCGCAACTTCCAGGCCAACTACCGATGTGGCGCCGATTTCTTCTTGATTGAGAAACTGGTACGACAATAGTTAATGCCGACAGCCAATCAAACCGTAGCACAATCTATCGGATTGCCAGTAGCAAAACTGATTTACTAGAGGCGAAGTTTCATAAAACGTGGGAGTATGCCGTTCGAAAACGTAGATTCCCCGAGGAGGCATCTTATTGGCCGTTACTATCTACGCACAGTCACTTTTCTGTAATCACTGAAGTCACTGAACGTTGTATTTTAGGAGCGATGGACGGATTATGTGCGGTGCCCACGTTGCAGGAAGGCGGGTGGAGCGAGAGTGAGAGAGAGATAGAGAGAGCGAGAGAGATAGAGAGCGAGAGAGAGAGAGAGAGAGGGCTTAAGTGCAGTTAACCCCCCCCGCCCAGCCGGCACCCACCTACGGTATCTCGGCTCCCTGTTCATCTACAGGTGTGTAAAGTATACCAAAATACTCGCCAGAGCAAGACGAACTTACATTACAACTTACAACCTTATACACCTGTAGATGAACAGGGAGCCGAGATACAAAAGTTGGGTGCCGGCTGGGGAGGGGGGGTAAACTGGAATCTAACCAGACAGAGAGAGAGAGAGAGAGAGAGAGAGAGAGAGAGCGAGAGAGAGAGAGGATATTCCAGTGATTTCTTGCAGGAACCGTGGACGGAGAACCTGTGGAACTGTACCAGCTGCGCATCCATATGGAATCGTGAATGGCTGAGTCGTGGAAGTGGATCTGGACAAGTCGTTTGCCTCATGAGTTACATGGAACAGCCCCCAACGGATCTTCTCAAGGTCGTCGATGTAAGCTTTGGCGAATCGATCGATTATATTTTGTAGCAAAGAAAAACAACTTGGGGAAAGACGCCGTGTTTTTGGCGCAAAATCGCCTTTCTGTGGCAATCCAGTTTCCGGGAACGCCGATAGGTTCTACACCGGTAACGTGGTCTTTGTACGAAATCGTGGACTTTGTACGAAATCGTACCCGGATCATACTGGCGAAATTGCCACGTTTTTCCAGCGATTTGGGGGCTTTTCCCGAAGTTTTGGAATCGTGGTCAATAGCCGGTCCGAACCTGGATTCTTTCAACAGGCCCAAAAATCGCCGATTTTTCGATTTTTTAAAGACCCCGATGCCGGCAATCGACCACGATATCGATTAAAGACCACGTTACCTGCATCGGCGTCCATTAGACCACGATTTCGTACAAAGTCCACGATTTCGTACAAAGACCACGATTTCGTACAAAGTCCACGATTTCGTACAAAGACCACGTTACCGGTGTAGAACCCGCCGATATTACATGTATCGCAAATCCCTCGAAAGATATGACCTCAAATTTTTAGATTTAAGCCTATTTTACCTTCCAACGCGATTCTGAATTGTTTCAGGTGGCCTTTTGCCCCACTATCCCTCAACGACGTGGATTGTTAAACCGTGTAGAAATTATAACTATATACGAGGGTGCGTCGTATATTCATGGTCACCGTTTTTCGGTGAGTGGAGTAGCCTTTCTACCGACTAATTTTATCAAGCAACGAGCTACGATATAGCACTGATACATACGATATAACAACGATATAGCAATGCCTCAAAAGACGGATTGAGACGATTTATAATGGAGCTATGGATTTTATGGACGAGACGACAGACGACGCCCGAATGATTAAGGATTGGACGATGAGAAGGGTGATTCTTGCTTTTTCTCTTTCTCTCTCTATCTTTCTCTCCCTCTCCTTCTCTCTCTCTCACTCTCTGTCTCCCTCTCTCTTTTCGCCGAGATATAAGCTTTGATTTCAGAATTATGGAGCCATAGAATTCCAATGTTACTTCGAAATCCACATCGCCAACAAATGTAAGATACATGCATGACGGATAATCACTTCTAGGTAGGGTTGTTTTTGACACGCGTCGATAACAACCCTACTTCCAGGGCACACCCTGCCCCGAGAATCGTTTGACCGGAAACCCAATTCCATACAATTGCTCGCGTTCACTCAATTTTTTTGCGTTCCATTCTGGGGCGAACCCTCACATTTTTAGTTTTCTTTATGTTTACGGTAATCAAAAATTTAAATAGGGGAAGGTACTTGTAGTACAGTAGATATTAAGACTCGGCGGCGCATTTTTTTGCGTTTTCGCACTTTTTATTTCCGTCCTGGGAACTCTGTTTTTATGAAAATTTGCTCATTTCTTCAGAAATGTATTATTTCTGGTGAGAAAACTCGTTTTTAGGGCGAGTACAGGCATAAAACCGCCTATTGCCACTTGACTAGGTCGATAGGCATTCTAACTATTCATGGTAACAAACGCAATTTTCAGAAAAAAAAAATTGGTTTTGGCAAAGTGTTACATGCAATCGGTGAAAGGAAATCCCATAGTTTCAGCTTTCCGCGGCACCATCATTTGCGACTCGAACCCGAAATTTGGAGGTTTTTCGGTGGTGGTTTTCGATCAATAAACAGCTGAATTAATGTAGGTGCTCAGCTACCTAGCGTTTCCATCCGAATTGTTATCGGTAGACTAGCGGGCGAGGAGCCGCTACGCAACTGTCCCCCGCTGGACCCCGTCTAGACACTATGAATTGGGCGACTTTCGAAATCACGCTCAATGTGAATGCATCATAATTAATGTGGGACCATATTCATCCGGCTTCAGGCGTCCCTCGAGCCAGGCGAGCTAAAGAGTGACCGATTTAGGGTACGGTATCAGTCCGGAATTACGGCATTTGACCGTATTTCGGTATTACCGTGTTTTTAGAGAAATGAATTTTCTTTCTAGAATGTCCTTCTTTGACTATTAAAAGTTTTTCTTAATTTTAAAGTCGTTAAAGTGAGTTTTCCTTTAGTATTTTTTTTCAGTTATTAACAGTTTTCTTTTACTTTAAATTTACCCTAATCTTCCTTTGGAAAATTTATTTTTTAATCGTTCTTGTTCTTGGTTTAATTTTACTTTTAAAACTTTCAAATTAAAAAAAACGTGCGAAAAACACTGACTGACCCGCAAAGTCGTTCGAGGCGCCCCTCCAGCCGATCCATCTCGACGTCGATCACGCGATGCAGCATCTCCTACCTCAGCAGGGGCGGCGTCTGAAATTTGGGGTTAGAAAGAAAGTGGAAAGCTTATGAATAAAAGAGCGAGAGAGAGAGAGACAGAGGAAAGAGAGAGAGAGAGAGAGAGAGAGAGAGAGAGCGAGCGAGACAGAGGAAGATAGAGAGAGAGATCCTATCGTCAAAATATACCTCGTTGAAAGTCCGTTGTCCATTTTCTTGACTCGTCTGTGGCACATCGGGCTTCACAGTGGGCTGTGGCTCGGCGGCAGTAGGCGCCACTTCCGCTTCCTCCTCCCTGGCTTCATCCTAAAAAGCACTTTGATAGTATTTAAAACATTTAAAAATCCTAGCGTCTGTAGAAAGAAAACTGGAAATCGGGCGCTACCTTCACCGCCTCATCCGCCACTCCGAGCTTCACTTCCGGCAGGTCAAGCTTGGGCCATGGAGTGGGGCCATGCCGAGGATCGGCTGCCCCAACTTGGCCATTTGCTCGAGCACGCTGTTTTTGGCTGAAAAAACACAATTTATCTTCTCTCATTACTCCTTTTCTACTAACTCTCCCTCAAGAGTTATCTATCATTTTCGTACAGGATCTTTTGGGTTTTTTTACCGTTTTGAGGTAACTGCAAAATCATTCATGAAAAAATGAGAAACATAACTTTCTTTGTTCTTTCCTTGCCAGGGAGGAGGTTCTTTCGCATTATCAGGGGGGGCATTTTTTCGAAGGGACTATCGTTTCTAATAGAAATAGAGGCCGAGTTTCCAAATTGTTTTTTTACTATCCTCAACATAAAAACTACAAAATCTGATTAGAAAAATAAAAAAAATCGGTTTCGGACCAAAAATAGCCGATTTTCGATCAATTTTGGCTCATAAGTGTTTTCTACGTTTTTTTAAATTGTTTTCCCACTAAAAATATAGCTAAATTGACTAAAACCCCCATTGAAATACTTTTATTTTCTAGATTTTATTTTCTAGAAGCGGTAAATCCGTTCCAAATCTGCTAAACCTCCACCTGGTGAAATTTCCTCCTTCAGCTCTTCTTCCACCACCACCGCGCCCTCCACGATTTCCGAGCTCGGCGTCACCGAGCGGTCCCTCTCGCTGCCCGCATCGAGGGTGCTTCTAAATTCCGGGTTTTCTCATTGAAGGTCCCGTTACCTCGTGTCGTCATTGGCCTTCTTGTGCTTCTTGACGACGATGAGCAGCGCCTCGCCGGGTTTTGGGCACACCTAAAATCATCATGTCTATAAATTTTAGACTGCTTACAAAGATCTGGGCGGCCTTCTTCAGCCCGAGCGTGTGAGCGAGGATGCGCTGGAAATTGCCGGACTTCTCGCGGATGCGGATCCGCTGCTCGTCGCTGGTTTTCTAGATAATAAATAGATAAATGTCACGTAGTTTCAAAGGGCCTATAAAACTTTATAAAACTTCTAAATAAACTTACAGTAAGCTCCCCGGCTTCCTCGGTGAACTGAGTGATCTAAATAGAAAATAATACATTAAAAAGGACAACGTTACCTCTAATAAAACGGAATCCCCAATGTCGATCGCTTGCTCGCCACTGCCCTCGTTGATTTTTATCGGCTCCTTGCTGCTCGAGAAGAGAAGTGCCTGAAAAAAAAACAAATTTAAGACTTTTGGATCTCGGCTCGCTGTTCATCTACAGGTGTGTAAAGTATACCAAAATGTTCGTCTCACTCTTGCGAGTATTTTGGTATACTTTACACACCTGTAGATGAACAGATTTACGTTCATTTGGCAAAATTTTCTTTTGGCATAATTTCATTTGGTATAACGTTATTTGGCATAATGTTATTTGGCATAATTCGCTCGCCAGATCAACAATTCCCACAACAACAATTAACAGTTCCTCAAGGAATTGGGTGCCTATCAAGTTCGGAGCGATGTCAAGTACGAAAAAATGCGCCAACGCGGTTCGAAGAAGAACCGAAGAAGTCCAAACCCCCCCTCGGGTCTATTCCACCCAGCAACGTCTCGACTCGCCTCG